TTAGGTTGATAATGCCGTTCGAGATGCCATCATAGGTCGCCCTGTTGTTTCATCTCCCATCCCTGCATTATAGGAGGTTGTCTTTCAGACATGTGGCCCCTCCCTCCCACACATCCGCCTTCCCCAAACCTTCCCTTTGATCTCCTTCCTTCCCTTCCTCCCTGCCTCCTTCTGTCCCATTTCACCCGTCGTCGCCAGCTCCGCTCACCCGTCGTCGCCGGCTCCGCCTCCGCCTCATTCTGTTGCTGTGGTTCCTGCCCGTACTTTTGTTTCTCTGTTCAGTGGGCTGTGACGTGCCGCCCAAGGGCCATCCAGCCCCCTGGCCATTTCCTCGAGCTCCGGACGCGCACCCAGCAAACAAGCATCGCAGCCCTAGCGAGTTGCAAGGGCCGCTCAAGTATTGAACGAGGATTACAATGCAGCTCAAGACTTCACTCACACATACTCTTTGCGTCGGCGGCTAGGCAGATTGACTGCGCTGGCGGAAGAGCATAAGAAGGACTTACAGATGCGAATTATGCCGTGTGTGCAGCAGGCTTTCCAGTAAACTATCTCACACTTCTTTCCGTTGAACGCTCCGGCGGGTGCACACACCGCCGCCGCCCACGTTCTTGGAGCGCGGCCGCTTAGAGGAAGAGAAGTGGAGGGTACGAAGCCCGCGAGCAGGGCTTCGGAGGCCTGTTGGATGGAGGAATGGGGCTACCGAAATAGCAGGCGGCGTGACAGGGTTTTTAGGCGGTAGACAGGGCCCCAGCAATCGTCAGAAGCGGCCCAGGAGGGCCCCGAGGTGCGCCCGAAAGACATTCCAAGCTAGTGTCCAACGGAGTACAATCACAGTGGGTGAAGCTGAAAACGAGCAGCGGCGCCACAAAGTGATCACTGCCGATTTGGTTTGGGAGGTAGTGGTTGAATGCTCGTTTTGTGATTCAAGCTCACTCCCGAGGGTTTGCAAGAGGGGCCGAGGGACCCTATCAGACAGATAGAGGCCCAGCAGGGGCCGAGATCCCCGCTTCTTTCCTGCCCTTGCTCTTGCTGCTTTTTCCCCCTTTCTCCCGCTGCCGTCTCGATTCAGTTTTATTCTGCAGGGCCCTTAGCCTGGGAGCTACGCCTCGCCCAACCGCGTGAAAGAATATCAGATGTCTTGGCGCCGCGCGCCCATCCATATTACAGTGGTAGCTTGGAGCGAGGCTCGCTGCCCCGGCCTTCGGGCCGTACATATTCCACGACGACGTCTGCGACGCGCCCGCCCGCGGAATCGACGGCCAGCGCCGTCCTGTTGCTTTGCTGCGCAGTGCTCTACATCTTCAGCGCTTGCGACGCCGAGCCCAATGCGAGTGTCAGCGACGTCACTGCCTACCAGCTGCTCGCACCGGCAAGCGCCGACAACGATTTCATCCCTTACTTCATCTTTGTGAATAGCGTCAGCGACGCTAAGTGTCACGCGAGTGTAAGCGACGCCACCTACCAGCTTTTCGACCCGGCAAGCGCCGACATCTCCCTCGATAAGCTCAGTACGGACTTGTTTACTTTGTTTCATTGCGGACATTAGCGACCATTTTATTTCGGTTCTCAGTGCAAACATTGCGGAACAACACCATCAGTCAGTCATGCCATGTTGGAATGGAGATCCTGAGAAACGGCGATATTACAAACAAGAAGTTAAGTTGTGGAAGCTCAGCGATAATCAGTTTCACAAAGCCTTGCATCAAAGCTAGTCCTCAAACTCGCAGGCACGGCACGTTCGGCCGCGCTTGACATGTTTCACCTGCCAGCCGAAGAGGACATCGCTGAGCCCGCCGATAGGAAGCGTTATCGGAACCAGAAGGGGATCGAGAACGTGCTCAAGCATTCGGGGGCGAACCTTGGACGACAAAAACCTGTGCAGAAGGGAGAGACGCTCGATAAGTACTTGGAAACGACACAGCATCACCGCAGAACGGGAGAACGCGTGACATATTGGCTCGTGCGTTTCGAGGCTGGCCATCAACGGCTTCGTGAGATCGAGGTGGACCTCGCCGCGCTGGGCGACGTCGCCGGTTGGTTCCCACTACGGAAAGCGGGGCTCACAACAAAACGACGTGAGCGCGTCGTGGGCAACCTGCCGATGAACACTGCTCGTTCCAGCGAGTCCGAGGATTGCTCGTGCGAGTATTCTCGGACAGCCGCTCGTTCGAGCGAACCACCAGTGTGCCGTCGCTGCCGTGGCCGCAGCGTTCCAACAGCAGTTGGCAGCGTTCGTCGTCGAGCCGAGCTCGTTCAGCAAATGTCGTCGACGAGCCCCAGGGCGACGGGGGCGAGTCGGAGGGCGACGGCGACGCCGAGGCTGACGCCCCGGACATCGTTAACCAGGAGCTCGAAGCCTTCCGCGCCGAGCTGGGGCAGTCCAGCTTCGACCTCGGTGAGGCGTTCGGTGGCGACGATTCCGCCGAGGTGGGGGCCGCCGCGGCGAAGCTCGCCGCGATTCCCGGGGCCATTGCGACCGTGCGGTCGGCCCGGGGGGCTATCGAGGGCCGCGGGGAGGGCGCGCCGAAGCGCCGACTCGCTGGCAGGGGCCTCCCAGGCCGCGTGGAGCAGCGCAAGAAGACCTCGAAGTGCTGGGGCTGCGGCGAGAAGTGGCGCTGGAAGGGCGACGGGGAGTGCCCGGCACGGGTCGCCCGCAAGTGCGCCCCTAAGGACAAGCAGAAGGGCGGAAGACGAGGGGTCGGAGGCCGCTCGCACCGCCAGGCCAACGTCGCCGAGCAGGTCACCGACCAGAACCGCGTGCAGTTCGGCGACGAGGAGGTGATATTACATCCAGAAGGCCCGGTCATTCCGCCATCCGAGACGCTGGTCTCCGAGCGCGTGGCGCCCGACTTGCCCGCCGCGAACGCCGCCGAGCCGGGCGGGGCGCCCGACGGCGATGTTATCGGGGTGATTGACGCCGCCTGCCAGTTCCGCGTTGGCGGGCTCGGGTGGTGCAAGAAGTGCACGGACGGGCTCGCCGAGATGGGGCTCGCCGACCAGGTCCTGGAGGGGCCCGAGGACGAAGTCTGTAGGTTCGGGAACGGCGGCGCGCCCCCAAGCAAGCTACGCGTCGCCGCCCCGCTCGTGCTATGCGGTCGCGCTGGCCGCGTCGTGTTCAGCGTCGTGGGGAGCTCCGCGGTCGGCCTGCTAAACGGCCGGGATTCCATCTGGCCGTCCAAGATCGACATCTCGCCCCGGGAGGGGCACGTGCTCATCGGGGCCCGCTCCCAGAAGCTCATCGCCAGCAGTGCGGGGCATCCCGCGGTTTACCTCCATCCGGAGGAGAGGCCTACCACCGAGGATGCGGGCCGCGTGTTCGGCCCGGAGACCGCCGGGCCCGAGGCCGCCAACAACGACGAGACGGCCTCGCTACCTGCAGTCAGCGCGACGACCGAGGCGGGCCCCCTGGTCGAGCCCATCATGAAGCTCACCCCCAAGAAGGAGTTAAACGAACCAAGGCGGCTTCAGCCGCGCCGAGTCGCCGGGTCACGGCTTATGGCCGCCGTGGCATCTGCCATGCTCTGGCCTGCTGCTCTATGGCAGCGATGCCGCTTGCGTATGCGACGCCCCTGGCGCCGATGACCCTGTGCATCGTCGACCCCGTCGATGACTGCGTGGCCTGCGGCGCCAAGCCCCGCGATGCATGCCTGCGCCTCGGGTTCTGCTCCGAGTGCGTGTTCGGCCACCTGGTCGCGCTAGACATCGACAGCGACAACGGGCCGCAGGGGGTCAACATTGTGGAGGAGGAGCATATGATAATGCGAAGCCTCAGGATGGGGGCGAAGGAGTTGCTCATCGCCGGCATGCGATCGGCCATCGTGACTAACAAGAGCGTCGTCCTGCCGCGCGCTGTCAGCCAGGCTCTCAAGACTGACTTGGCCAAATCAGCTGTGCGACCGAGCCTGGTCTCGAATTGCAATGCGACCGCCCTCTGCGAGTGGTGCTGCAACCGCGACAGCAAGCTCAGCGCTGAGTGGAATATGAATTGGGAAGCTGCTGTTCTTTGCGGAGCACCAGGCTTCAATTTCTCTCGGGGGGTTGTAGTGTGCAAGCTTGAGGGCAATATCAAGGCGGGCCTGCAAGGGTGGAAGAGCGTTCGAGTGCGCGCCGCCTTTCCGCGTGCGCCATGGACTGCGTTGCAGCGCCTCGTCCTCGAGATCGACCGCAGCAAGGCTGCGCAGCTACGAGCAGACAGGAATTACGCAGGGGAGATGCTCGACCTGTTCCTGAAATCAATGAGCCGCTCTCGCAAGGAATGCGGCAACCAGCTCGCGGTCTCGTTCGAGTGGCCTCGCTGCTGCGACGGCTCGGGCCAGGCGAGGAACTACGCCGCAGACGCGCTGATGAGGCAGCTCCCGCGCGTCATTGACTTCGACGGCCGCTCCTGCAACCATAGACCAAGAAGGGGGTTCAGTCGAGAAGCCGTGGGGGATCGTCACCGACCACTGCGGGATCGACGATTCGCCGCGCAAGTTTTGCGACGGCATGCGCGAGCGCGTCGATGCCCGTGGCTGGCTCGCCAAGGACAGCGAGATTTACGCCGGCAAGCTTGTCGCGGCGCTGGCCAACAGGCTTCGCGAGCCCAACGCGTCGACGCACCAAGAAGCGAACCCCGCTGGGCCAGCAAGAAGGAGAGCCGCTAGAAGGACGGCGCCGGCTCCAGCGGCCCCAGCCTAGCCATCATTAACATTGACGGCAGCGGAGGAATGGGCCCTCGAGTCCGCCATCATGCAGCTCCACGTCACTACGGGGTACCCTGCAAATGATGCGCTGGCCCGGGCTATCTGAGCGATGGGAGGGTCTCAGAGAGTTGATGAGATGGCACTCGACATATTTTGCGAAGTGTGCGCCGCCCATCGACGACCTCTACCGCATTTGCTTGGGGGGATCAAGCTTGACAGGGGTTTCAACGACTCCATCGGGGTGGATTTGTTCACCCTTGCCGACTACGCCGGCAACCAGCTGGTCTTCCTCGGCGTGGTCGACTTCGCCTCTGGGTTAACGCTGTGTGGTGCAGTCTCCTCAAGACGCCCTTCGGTTGTATTGGTCG